AGGTACCACAGGTTTGAACCAGGGTCACGGCAGCCACATGCAAGACAAATGCTTTACCTCCTACACTCTCTCTTTGGCCCCCTGCTTTACTTAGTTTTAAATTGTTTCTTTTTTTTTTTTTTTTTTTGCTTTTTGGGTCATACCCAGTGATGCACAGGGGTTACTCCTGGCTCATGGACTCAGTAATTACTCCTGGAAGTGCTCAGGGGACCATATGCAACACTGGGAATCGAACCCGGTCGGCCGTGTGCATGGCAAACGCCCTCACCACTATGCGATTGCTCTAGCCCCTTTTCTTTCTTTCTTTCTTCCTTCCTTCCTTCCTTTCTTTCTTTCTTTCTTTCTTTCTTTTTCGCTTTTTGGGTCACACCCAACAATGTTCAGAGGTTACTCCTGGCTCTGCACCCAGGAATTAATCCTAGCAGTGCTTAGGGTACCATATGGGAGGCTGGAGATTGAACTTGGGTCAGCCTTGTGCAAGGCAAATGCCCTACCCACTGTACTATCGCTCCAGCCAATTCGGCTTTGTTTTCTTGTGGGTCTTCCTAGAAGCACTCAGGGGGCTGAGGGACCACTGGTGGTGGTACTTGGTGAACTGGACTAAAGGTTCAATGCTGGAGCAGTGAGGCGGCATGCCAGGGCCACACCAGCCATGCCCAGGGGTCATGAGGGCCTCACCCAGTGGGGCAGGCTGGGGGGATGCTGTACCTGGGATCAGACTTCAGTCCCTGCACATGAAAGACGTGCACCCCCGGCCCCAGAGCTATGGCTCCGGCCCTAATTTCTATTTTTTTTTAAATTATGATTATTTCTCCTTTTCCCTTCCCTTGTTGGTGTTGCAATGACAGGGCTCACAGACACTCTTAGTTGCAGTGCTCACACACAGTTGTGTACCAGAGGAGTCTACACGCTTTGCAGTGGTGCCAGGAATCTCAATTACAGAGCCATTGGACTCTCACTTGGGATGCGGGATGGCGCCAGGGATGTAACTCTGCATCTTATGTCTAAGGCAGGTACCATCCTGGGACCCATTTGTTTTGCTTTATTCTTTTTGGGGAGCCACATCTGGCAGTGCTGGGGAGACTCCGAAGTGACCCTGGCAGTGCTCAGGAGATCATATATAGTGCCAGGGATTCGAACCAGGTCAGCAGAATGCGAGGCAACCGCCGTAACCCCTGTACTATCTGGTTCATGTGATCTGTCTTAGAGGAAAGTTGTTGGGGACTCAGTTGATGAGGTTGTTTTCATCAACTTTTATTGCAGTCTCTTGGATGAGATGCTTAACTTCTCTGCAATTTTCTCCCCGTGTAAAGCAGATTAAAGCTCTAAGGACAATTACCTGGAACGCCCGCAGGATAGCAATAAGGAGGAGGTGCTGGATGTTTGCCTCCCGCCCTCGGCTCGGTTCACCCACGCTGCAGAGGTTACCTGTCTGCCTTTCCCCACTGAGCACGCCCATCTTCAGAAAGCAGAACCATTACGCTCCCAACTTGTCATTACAAGTCTCTGTAGATGTTCCTGGAAATTACATTGTGAATCAGATCATTATTGGGTGGATCCCGGTCTCCCGCCCGGCTGTGTCCTGGACCCAAGCCTTCCGCCCAGGGAGCCATATCCTGAACAATAAGCAAAGAGTCGTGAGCTGCTCTGTGCTGTGAGCGGGGGAGGGTGCACCCAGGTGTGAAATTGGTTGGTTGGTTGGGACAATAGTCTCGTTGTGCCATGAATTGCACAGTGGCAAATAAACTGCTTTACCATCCAGTGGAATGTTCCAAAAGGAAGTCTCGCTATATCAAAACTGAGATGATTTCTTTTTTGTTTGGTTGTGGGACTACCCCTGGCCATGTGCTCAGGGGTCCCTCTTGGTGGTGTTCACAGACCATGTGGAACCAGGGGTGGAACCTAGCACACCCAGTGGTGCTCAGGGCTTACTCCTGGCTCTGCACTCAGGGATCACTTTTTGTGGGCTCAGGAACAAAATGGGATGCCAAGAACCAAACCTGAGTCAGTCTTACACAAGGCAAGTGCCCTACCTGCTGTGCTATTGTTTGGCCTACATTGCTTTTTTTTTTTTAAGTGTATCATTCCATTGTTTTTAGTATATTTGTGGATATAGACAACCATGACCACAGTCAGGTTTAAAACATTTCACTGCTTCAAAGAGAACCCACAGACCCCATCTCCCAGCCCCAAGCAGCTACCACAGTTATTTTTCTTTTCATGGCACGGGGCGGGGGGTGGGGGCAATGGGGGGGTTGGGTCACACCCAGTTGGGGTGGGGTGGGGAAAGATGGGGTTTTCCCAGCTCTGTGGTCTGAGGCTACTTTCTGTTCTGTGTTTTGGGGTGATTCTGTGCTGGGATGGGTTCTACTCCCTATAGTGGTCAGGGAACCATGTGGTGCTGGGGATCCAACCAGGATCAGCCACATGCAAGGCAGATGCCTTCTCCCAGACCTGTCTCCCCAGCCCGCATATGCTTCTGTTTCTGTGGATCTGCCTCCTCAATTGCTCAGATATGTGGAAAATATAATACTTGGCTTTGGGTTTGGCTTAAGAAAACTCAGCACAGCGGCTTGAAGGTTCATCCTCATTGTAGCATGAATCAGAACTTCATTCCTTGTAGGAACCACATAGGACTCACGAGATGGATTGTCCATTTTCTGTGTCTCCCCTTAAGATCCCCTGCCAGAGCTGGGGGCTGTCCCTAGCTTGCCATTCTTGGAACAGTGTTATTAGGAACATTCAGGTTCTGCTGTGAGCATTCACCTAGTCTCCAACACCTGCTTTCAGGGATTCTGGTCCATGCATAGCAGTGGACTGCTGGGTCCTGCCGTAATTCTGTGTTTGACACTTTGGAGAATGGCCAAACCTTTTTCCACCTGCAGGGATCCACTTTCCATTTGGACACATGCTCACAGCATTTATTCTTTTGCCTTTTTGATTATCATCTTTCAAGTGGGTGTAAAGTGGCATCTCCTGAAGGTGTTAATTTGCACTTAACAGCCTGGTCAGTCATTTTTTCTATATTGTCTTTGGCAAAATGTCTATTCAAGCCCATTGCCCGTGTTTAAATTGCTTCATTGTGGGCATTACTTATAATTCATTTATTTGTTCATTCAGTTGAGCACCTCTGTCATCTCAGGCCCCGGGGATAAAACAGTAAACACGTTAGCTGCTAAGTAAGATAATTCTTTTTTTTTTAATCCCTTTTTTTCTGGCTTCTTTATAAAATCAGATGTGGCAGCTGAGGTGGGCTTTGATGCCCACACACTGAGCGTCTGGGAGCCCCTTCCCCAGGTGTTGCTCAGTCCCGCTGTCTTTCTAACACAGCTGATTTATGCGGCTTGCTCTTACCTGTGTTTCCTGTCACCCCCTGTAGCTGAGGCTGCAGCCAGCGTTCTCTTGGTTCTTTGTGAACTTCTTCCCCCGAGCCTCCCATCCAGACTCAGACCAATGTCCTCTTTCTGTGCCCATAACTGCCTTAAGCCTTGTGAGCTTTCCCCCACAAAATAACCTGATACGAATGCGGATTCTCTGGTTAAGACAGGGAGCAGACAAAAGGAGAGAGATAACAAAAGGGAATGCCCTGCCACAGAGGTAAGGTGGGATGGGGGGAATGGGGGGTAGGAGGGATACTGGGATCACTGGGATCAGTGATGGTGGAGAATGGGCACTGGTGGAGGGATGAGTATTCGATCATTGTATAACTGAAATCCAAGCACAAAAATTTGTAAGTCTATAACTATACCTCATGGTGTTTCACTAATAAAAATTTAAGGAAAAAAAGTGGCTATGCCAGCTTCTGGGGAAAAGGCTAAAACTGCAAAGACATTTGGGGCTGAGCCCTGAGTACTGGCCCAAGTACTGGGAGGCAGGAGATAGGAGCATCTTGAACCAGGAGGAAGTAAAAGGAAGGGTCAGTATTCCAAGCCTAAGATTCATCTCTGTTACATAAACAACAAAATCCTAAAAAAAAAAAAATCAATACATGTACCAAGGAGACAGTTCAAAGGGTTTAAATAAATGCTTTGCACACACACTCCCCATATGGGATTCAAATCCCAGGGCCCTGTATGGTCCCCCAGCCTGCCTTGAGTGATCTCTGAGAGGAGAACCAGGAATAAGCACCACCAGGTATGGCCCCAAAACAAAAACAAAATAGAAAAAGTTTTGGTGTCCCCTTTGCCTGGGGCATTTTGAGTGTGTTCAACAGAGGAAATAGAAGCAGCTCTGGGCTCAGGCTTGGGCTTTTGAACCCTCTCACCCAATGCAGCACCCCAGGATCAGGATCTCCTGAATGCATGCTTCACCGGGATTGTGTTTAGTCCCTCGGGCTTGCCCTCTTGCTCGCCTAACCACTGAGCAATCTTCCAGGCCCTTCTGCATGGGGCTGGCCAGGTTGCCTCAGCAAGTGGGGTTTGAACTTATAACCTTGCACTTACTAGACAGCACTTTAATATGTTTGGACTTTTGAAATGATGGGAGGTTCTTATGTTTATGAGCAAATTTCCTGGATGAGTTTCTAGTTTTTTGTAGATTCATCAGTTTCCATCTCAAGCCTGCCCTACCCAAGACCCAGTTTCTTTGATTCAATTAGTAAACACTGTTGAAAAAATACACCTGATATTAGATAACCCTTGGCCATCACTCAAAGAATTAACCCAAAGCCTAAGGAACAGAACTGCCCTGGAGAGGGTGTAGACAGGGATAGCAGCAAAGGACGGGCAGTTACAAGCTTCTCCAGATTCAGCTACATGCGAGCCAGGCACCTCCCTCATCCCTAGACTGAGACCTCAGAATTCCCACCTGTCATTTTTCAAGGTTAGTTTATTGTGTTGGAGACTCCCACTCTCTTGTGGAGGCTTACAGGGGATGGGAATCTCCTTTCCTGGAAGACCGTGTCTGGGCTGAGAGAGCAGTCTCAGGCTCCTGGCCCCTCTGAAGACCCCCCACTTTGTGGTCCATGGTGGCGGCCATCTTTTCCTGGAAGGCAGCTTCCTCGCCCCAGGCAAAGAAAGCAGTGATGCCCTTCTCCTTTAAGGATTGTTTCCAGATACTGCTCCACCTGTGGCCATACTTTGCTGTCCCATTGGCCAGAACTTCACCTCTGGGCTAAATCTCCTACTGGGAAAACTTTTGAAAACATGATCTATATTCCAAAGAGCCTTGGCTAGCTAAAGAACAGAAGATGGCATCACTAAGTGGCATCACAGGGCTGGAGAGCTAGTGTCGGAGGTAAGTCACTTACCTTGCATGCAGGAGCTTCAGCTGAACTTGCTCGATCCTGGGCACCGCATATGGCACTTCCTGAACATGAGAGCCAGGGATAGCCCCTGAGTACCACCAGGGATGGCAACAACAAAAGAAGTGTCAACTTTGGGGCTGGAGTGATAGTACAGCAGGTAGGGCTTTTGCTTTGCACGTGACCAACCCAGGTTCGATCTCCAGTATCCCATAGAGTCCCCCAAGCAACACCAGGAGTAATTCCCAAGTGCAGAGCCAGGAGTACCCCTGAGCATCACCGGGTGTGACCCAAAAAGCAAAACTAAATAAAGAAGTGTTATCTTCAAAAAAGCACAGGAGTCACTGATTAGAAAAGAGGGATTTATTGAGAAATTAAACAGTTTAGGTAGGGAAGGGTGTCCCCAGATGGGCTGGAAAACAGCTTCCAGGAGAGGGAGGAACACAGAGGGCCTGGTTTATCAGCAGCGGAGGTAAAGTGATATCACAGCTTATACATATTCTAGCAGTATTTCCAGGGGAGAACAGTGAGCACGAGCAATCGGGGGACATATGATGAACACACATCACATATATGCACACGTATATGTACACAGATGTGCATGCATACACATGTCTGTGTACTTGAAGGCATGTAGTATATACAGAAAATGGCAGAGAACCGTCCCCACGGGGTGATGAGAAGAAAGGAGATTCAAGCAGCATTTGTTCTTTTTTATACCTGTCGGCGGGCACCTGTCTTGCATCCTGGTCAGCAGTTATAACCAAGCTGAGAGGCCAGTGTTTTGCAACCTCTCTACACACCAACACCTGCGACCCACACTGGCCTATGGACCAGTGGTTGAAGATCACTGAACCAGAGATGAAGAAGGGCTCACTACTGCCCAGTGTCCACTGACGGTACTATCTGACCAGTGGCCTGGGTCCTTCTCAATGAAATATTGTTCTTATGGTTCCACTCTAGCCCCAACAGAGCCAACAGATTTCAACACAGAGAGATTGTCACATTCACCAAACTACCAGTCTCGGCCAACGAGCTTTATCTAACCCCAGAGAGTCCATTTAATTTGGAGCAGGGGTGGTGAAAGGGCAAAATGCAAAAGGTTTTGACAGGAGGAAGGGGACACTTGGGGACAGGGAGATCTCTGTCGCAGCACTCTGTGCACTGCTGTAAACACCATTTACACATACAGCAAATGAGTTGGATGGTTTTTTTTTTTTTTTTTTTGCACATAAACCCATCTGCTGATTTTTCAACTAGACTTTGCCAGAAGGTCACTGTCTGGTCTGAAAACCATGATGAATTACTCAAAAGCCAGGTTCCCCACTAAATAGGACTCCTGGGCATTGTGAGAAGGGGAGCGTGTCTGTGGGGGTGGGGGGGGCGGCACCTCCCAACCTTTAATGCTTTTGCTGACAGCAAAGCTGTCCAAGTCGCTGAGATTTGTGCTTTGCGGCCTCATAATCCAGATGCTGCCATGGGGAAGGTGCCTGCCAGCTCTCAGGGCTCCTCGTCATGCAATTGTAAGCCACTGCCCCTTACCCACCAGGCTAGTTGCAAGCCTCCAGATGGAGGCCTGAAGCCTAGCCTCAGAACAAGCCCTGTATATATTGCTTTTCTCTGCATATAGCTCTATGTCAAAGTTTCATTTATATGTTAGGTACCGTTTGGCCTGGAGCAAGAGTAGGGTGGGTAGGGTGTTTGCCTATCCAGGTTCAATCCTGAACAGCTGATGTGGTCCTCCAAGACTACCAGGAGTGATTTCCTGAGCACAAAGCTAGGAGTAAGCCGTGAGCACTGGACAACATGTAAATTAGGCATGGTTTCCAGTAAACACCTACAACTAATAATAAAATAATAATAATAACACTCTCCTGTACTTTCTCAGAACACTTTTTTTTTCATAATGTAGGAGTACTCCTATTTATTCACCCATTGGTTAAGCTGATTGAATTGGGCATAAACTCCATATTTATTTTTTTTATTCTATTCTGAATGCCCTGGAGCGATAGCACATTTGCCTTGCATGTGGCCCACCTGGCTGACTCGAGTTGATTCCTCCTCCCCTCTCAGAGAGCCCAGCAAGCTGCCAAGAGTGTCTCGCCCACACGGCAAAGCCTGGCAAGCTACCCATGACGAATTCGATATGCCAAACACAGTAACAACAAGTCTCACAATGGAGACATTACTGGGCCTGCTTGAGCAAATCAATGAACAATGGGAGAACAGTGCTACAGTGCTACATTCTGAATGTTAATTTTATTTTATTATTATTTTTCTCCCTTTTTTTGATTCACCGTGAAATACAGTTACAAAACTTTCATGTTTGAGCTTCGGTCATAAAATCATCAAACCCCCATCTCTTCACTAGTGCATGTTTTCCACCATCAAAATCCCCAGCATTTCCCCTGCCCACCCCCGGTCCAACCGTTCCCCTGCCTGTATGGCAGACAATTTCCCCCATACTCTCTCTCTACTTTAGTTATATTTGATATTTTGACACCAGTCTCACCACCACTCAAACCTGCCGAAAAGGCAATGCTAGACAATTTGTTTTGCATTGCTTGTTATGGACAGAATATAACGCCCAGGAAATTCTGTGTTGTTCTCTTCCAGGATCTTTAGTTGATAGTCTCTGGGTCTTGACCGTTGATGAGATTACAGGGCACTGGGGGCAGTTTGTGGGTGTGACTGCCAAGCTACTGGAAAATGGAGACCTAGGGGGAGGAGGCCCAGTCCCGACCTAAGCGAGCCTGGAGCTCTCAGTCATGGGTTCCCACCTACCTCTGCACTACTGGTCTAACTGCATCTTTTGATCTCTTTCAAGATTTATGGGTCTCTGAAATAAGGCCAATAGATGAGCTTATATAGCTGAGTCAGACGTGGTTTGTGGGTATGTCTCCCACATACCTAACTTTTGGTCGTTTAACTTCTTGGTAAACTTGGCCCCAAGTTGTTGGGGTCTGGACAAAGGCACAGCAACAATTTTGGAGTATCTGGAAGTCTGAAGGCATCATCAGGCTGCTGATGCACTCGCCCTACAGGTACAGGTTTACCTGCTGGCAGCACCATTCCCCCTTCAGAACACCTTATTGTGAATATTCCCCCACCTCTGTTAGGGGTGCATAACTGAAACCCCAGAAAACTCAAGAACTGATCAAAGGAGCCACATGTGTATTAGGATTTACCTGTTGTAAGCCACAGAAACCCAACTCAAAATGCGTTAAATGTATGCGTTGACTGTTAGTTGGCAGACAAGAGATCAGGCGTGTTCATCTTTCTGTGTCTGGCTTATTTCATTTGGCATAGTGTCTTAATGTTCATCAGTATGGTCACCAATGGATTTCTGACCATCCCAATTCCCCCATCATAGTGGCTTAAATTTAAGGAGGAAATTTACTGGCTTTTGTCTGCAGAGTCCAGGAGCAGGTAGATATCCCATACCTGGTCTAGGGATTCCACAGCCTCAAGGCAAAGCCTTCTGGCCCAGGGGGAGCTCAGTGTCAGGTTGCCCTTCATACTGGCATTAGGTGGAGAGTTTAATTTCCAGTTCCCCACATGCCAAGTGCCAATGTGATCCCTGGCAAGAGGTACAACTGAATTATGCAACCTCTAATTCTCACAACAAGAAAAAAGAAGAGGAGAAGTAGTAGTTTAGTAATTGGTTCAGGGGCCAGAGTAATATTACAGTGTGTAGAGCTTTTTCCTTGCACGCGGCTGACCTGGGTTTGATCCCTGGCATCCCATATGGTTTCCTGAGCACTGACAGAAGTAATTCCTGAGTGCAGAGCCAGGGGTAAGTTCTGAGCATCGCTGGGTATGGCCACTCCCCCCAAAAATTGGTTCAGATCTCTCTCTCTCTCTCTCTCTCTCTCTCTCTCTCTCTCTCTCTCTCTCTTAAGGGAAAAAGGGTGTGGTCGAGGGCCGGTGCAATAGTACAGTGGGTAGGACAGTTTGCCTTGCACGCAATCAACCCAGATTCAATCCTTGGCATCCCATATGGTCCACCCAAGCACCGCCAGGAGTAACTCCTGAGTGCAGAGCCAGGAGTAATCCCTGAGCAATGCCGGGTATGACTCCTCCCCCCCCCAAAAAAAGAAAGGGTGTGGAAATTCTTAAAAAGATTAAGACTGTCAGACTGTCAGTGAGTCTTTGTGCCTCTACATCTTTCTTTCTCTCTCCATCTCACCCTATTTTCTCCTGTGTTATGTTAGCTTTTCTTCTGGGGCCATACCCAGTGGTGCTCAGGATTTATTCCAGGTTCTGTGCTTAGGGATCACTCCTGGTGCTGCTCGGGGGACCTTATGGGATGTCAGAGATCAAACCACAATTGGCTGCGTGCAAGGCAAGCATCTCACCAGTTGTATATCTCTTCAATTCTAGCTTTTTCATTAATTTACCTTTCATAATTTTTGTTTATTTTTTGGTTTGGGGGCCACACCTGGCATAACTCAGGGCTTACTCCTGGCTCTGTACTCAGGGATCACTCTTGGGAGGACCATGTGTGGTATCAGTGACTGAACTTGAGTCAGCCACACAACAAATCACAACCATCTTGTTATTCGTCGATTGCCTCGAGCCAGCCCCAGTAACGTCTCCTTCGTCCTAGCCCTGAAATTTTTTTTTTAAAAAGTGCCATATTGAGGCTTTTTCAGAGTTAGGAGAATGAGACCCTTAATTGTTACTGGTATTTGGCATATTGGGTACGCCACGGGGAGTTTGCCAGACTCTGCCGTGTGGGCAGGTTATATTCGGTAGCGTGCCAGTTTGTCCAAAATAGGAATGAGATGATAAGATGTCACACGGCTGCGAATGCGGCTGCGTGCTTCCGGGAGCTGGGTTTTATAGTCTCTGAGTCTTGGCCGTTGATGGGATTACATGG